ACATTTTCTGTAAAGGGCCAGATGGTAAATACTGTGGGCTTGGTGTCTGTGCAATCCCATTTTAACTACTGAACTCTGTCCACACAGTGACGGTGCAGCTGTGGATAGTAATGTAAGGGCGTTATGAAAGCAGGCGAAGAGCTGGTTTACCCATGTAGTTCTTTTTAATGAACTCACCTTACTCACAAAAGGGTACCTGAATATTTCAACCCCCAAACAAGTTCATCCACACAGAAAAACTCTGAAAGGAGTATAACTAAATTTTAATTATGATTATTTCTTAATGGGCTTATGAATGATCTTACTGTTCTTCTTTATTCTTGTCTACATTTATTAGTTAAACAATGAAGAAAAACAAACAAAAAAGCAAGAAAAAAAACCCCCATAAGCAATATTAAGGAAAAAGAGAACTTAAACAAAAAATACATTTAAACACTTACTATGTCAGATTGTCTCCGAATGTCTTCAAAAAGTTGCTGGTATTTTAGAGCTGGTGTTTTGCCCTTAGATAAAATAAGTTTTTTCAGCGCTTCAGCTAATTCTTCTTTCCGTTTAACGAGAGGTGGCACTCATTCCTGATTTACAAAATCAATAAAAATATTTCTGCTATTAGAGAGCGGAATGTTTCAAATTCCCATAAACATTCCTTTAGTAGCATCACCAAGAAAGGTAAAGAGTACAGTGGCTGAATGCCAAAATACATCCAAAAGCAAAGTCAGTTTTAAATTCTCTGCTGTTTAAAAATGTCTGTAATCCAGTAGCTGCTACTTTCCAATGACACATAGTCTATGTAATCTGTACAGGATGCAGTCACTGTCTATTGAAATACTAACTACTACTTAGAAATGGGTTAACATGTGCATGTAGACAGCAGGGGAGAAGGGAGAATCCCCTTAAGATTACATACAAAATACTGTATGTATTAGTGTATATTTTATCAGGAGAAGATTGGGGACAACTTTCATCAGATTCTCAAAGGAGTCTTGATCCAAAAAAGGTTAGGAACTTCTGCTTCAAATGACTTAACCATTAGCTTAAACTGAAATGTCAACTATTTCCATATTTAAATAATTCTCAACGTAAATAACAAACCTGTAGTAAGAATAGATATGTCCACAATGCCAGTGCGGGGGTCAGTTGCAGACTGCTTCAGAGCCTCACGATGGAGGCGTTTGGCCTCTTCCACATCAATTGCTTCAACTTTGTTTGAAAATCGTACTTTAGCATGGGCTTCTGCTAAGCGAATTAACGATTCCAGCTGTCGAGGGTACGCAGAAACCATTCCTCGGCTACTGCCGATCTTCCTCATGTCTACATAAGCCTAGTGCAGGTAGAAAAACAAAAGCAAAACCCCTTGGTGACAATAACCTAGATTCATGGTTTTTTTTTTGTTGTTGTTGTTTTGTTTTGTTTTTAAAGGGCAGCTGGCCAGGTACGGGGATCCAAACTCTTGTTGTGGTTGAACTTTGAACAGTTAGGGTTCCCTTAAATAAAGTGAACTGCCTGTCTGCCACATGGAGGTCCTAAAAGGGAATCAAAAAGTCAGACCTAGCCCTCGCCTCAGAGCTCATCAAGACTAACACAGACAGACCATAGAAATCCGGGGAGGACTTCAATGTCTAGTATGCAGTGATGGTTGGAAGTATTCTGACTGGGAGATCTCTGGGAACACTTCTTGGAGAAGGCAGTATCTGATGTAGCTTTGAGGAACAGAGCCGGGCATGATGTGGCAGATGGGGACACTGACATGTGGGGTGACGAGCTGGCTGTGGTTAGAGCAGAGAAAGATTCAGAGGGCCTGTCTGGAAAAGTGCTCAGGCACTAACCCCAATCTACACCCTTAGTTAGGAGCCCATTTGGTGAGGGACGTAAAGGATTACTGGGGTAACATTATGAAGGTAAGTTGTGTTAATTCTTTATACAGATGGACATAATTTCATTCCTTCATGAACAACCCTCAAGAATACAATACAAAAGGAAAATTACATATCATCTGCAACTTTCATTTGAGCATTTTCAGGAGCTCAGTTAGGATGTAGAGCCCATCAAGGCACTGGGAATCTTCTTTAAATCACAATGCTCGAATAAATGTGCTATCATGCACTGCTGCCCATGTACAAGCACAGTGAAAAGTGAACCTTAAATACTTACCACTCATTTCGTTTTTTACAGAGATGACTTGTCCGGAGTTACAAAGTCACTAAGTAGCATCACCTGTATTTGAACTCAGGTCTTTTGATCTTAAATTCATTATGCTTACAGGTTATTTAAATATAAAATGTGTGTCTTTATATTTAATGGCACTATCTACATAAATGAATTCTTTCCCCCTTTGTACAACATTTAGAAAAGTCAAATTTACAACACATGTGAAAACAGTAAATACAGAAAACGGTATGCTATTCTTAAAGTAATTAATGTTTTAGAGGGGATGACCAGCTGACTACATTAATGCTTTTGGCTACAGGCTCAGTAAAAGCTTTCTGCAGGCCTGGTTACCTCGATGAGAGCTTGGCTAGCCTCCTCGCTCAACCAAGGCGTGATGGCGCTGTGCGCATAGGCGATGTAGTCCTTCAGTACTGCCATGTCCAGGAACTCCTCCTCCACCTGCTCCTCGCTCTGGTAGTACAGTGCCACCAGGTGGTGGGCCAGACGCCTGTCATAGGCTTCATCCCGAGGATCCAACATGAGGAAGATCAAATCAAACCTGAGAAAAGGGAGTAAAAACACTATTTTCCTGCTTGGGACACCAACATACCTACACACAAAACTAAGTACATAGGTGTGTACACAGTGAAGGTGTGCCTCACGAGGCCCCTGGGAGGACAGGCATCTTCCTTCCCATCAAGGAGGGGGCTTTGGGCTGATCCCACCCCTCAGGTCTTTCCAGGAGCCACGGGGCACCAAACAGCTGAGTCACAGAAGTACTTCCCTCAGGAAAATGTTATGTAATTTTGAGATGAAGATTTGAATGAAAACACATTCAATTGTTTTAGGAAAAAAAACTATCTGATAAACTCAAGTTATTAAAATCAAAACTCCATTTATGAAATAGACCAACACTGGCAGTGAGGCTGAGAAAAAGTGTGAATTATCTGGCTCTGCTTTAACAAATCTAATCTTTCAGAACCTTATCTACTGTACAAAGCTGTTCTCTACACTTTGTTGATTCTCCATAGTGGCTTTAAGATTGAGAGATAAGAGTTGTGAGAGATAGTCACCTGGAAAAGATGTCAAGGAGAAACATCTGAGTTGCTTCAAAAAACAAATGAATGTTAAGACACTACCTACAGTTGGGCAGAAAACACATAATAATCCTTGCTATGAAAACCCTTGACCAACCAAATTGGAAACATTTTGCATTACACTGAAGAGTTTATATTAGCAGTTGCTGAATCTTAGTATTTCCTTCTCAATCTCACCCTGAAAATTCTACAAATGAGCAAAATAAAATCATCTGTTTTATAAAAATGTTTTAATACCTTGATAATAACGTATGAGGGAGCTGGATGTTTTCGATGGTGGTTTTTTTAGGATTCCATTGAGACTCAATGGGATTTGCTGCTGCTAGGACAGAAGTGCGTGCGTTGAGCTGACAGATGATCCCCGCCTATCAGAGAAAGCAGTGCAGTCAGAGCCTCTTCTTGCTGTTGGCAGGAACAAGTTCACCAGATCTCCTACTAAACCCACATGCTCTCTGCTATTTTTCTGTAGTCTGAGAGCC